GTCTCCAAAGGGCAACAGGAGGGATCCTCTGGTGATGAAATTTTTCTGTGCCTTGAGTATATCAATGTCAACACCCTGACTGTGATACTATACAGTTTTACAAGATGTCAGTAATAAGAGAAACTGGGTGGACAGTATAGAAAATCTCTGTGATTTCTTAAAACTGCCTGTAAATTTACAGTTATCTCCAAATAAAAAGTTTAATCTAAAAAAGCTAATCAATCTGAATCTGCTTCAAATCTGTTTCTGTCATCTGAAATAACTATTACTTCCAAAAATCTTCTCTTTGCTACAATTTTGTTAGCAGCCCAAAGTTTAGTTTCTGATTTAAAACTGAGTATTACAAACATTTAAAGGAAACATACCTAGCACGTGAGGCCAAAATATCTGCCCAAATTTTCCTGCAGAAATCTCATCAAGGACACATATTAGCTTACATAATAATTAACTGTTTAGCTAGCATTGATATGTTTTAGCTAATACTGCACACTAATTGAGATTTTTTTGGTTTTATTTTGGTTCAATTCCCTCAAATTATATTTTCCCTTCAAAGAGCTATGGGAAATTTCTTTTTTTAGTTAAACAATTTCATCTGTAAAATGAGTACATTTCACTAATATTTAAACAAAAGGCAAAGCTTCCTCTCCCCAGAGGAAGCTCTGTTGTCCAGTCCTCTTCCTGAGGAATATTTGTTGTCAGTTTATTTCCCTCCAGATTATTTTTTTCTGTATTTCTAAACATATGTACAATTGTGTGTATCTGTGTGTCAGAATGATTTTTTTTTACAAAAGTAGGAACCATACTGTTTATACTATTCTTCAAAATTTTTCCTGCTTTAAAATGTCTTGAAAATTCACATATCGGTATGTTTAGATTTAATTTAACTCATTCTTTTCAACTGCCTCACAGTATTCTGCTATTGATATATCAAAGCCTAATCATTCACCTATTGACACTTAGGATGGTTCTAATACTTGCTATTGCAACCAATGTAGCCGTTAAGTGAAAATCCTTGTACACGTTTCTCTGAGCACAAATGAGGTTATTTCTCTAGGACAGAAACTTAGAACAGGAGCTTTCAATGTGTGGTTGATACTGCTGATTGGCTGAACCAACACCTGTTCCCACCTACTTTGAATCTTCTCTCCGCCTGCCTCCCACAGTACAGGCTGGAAAAGCTGGAAACTCACTTTCCGCACTCTGCTTGCAGCCAGGGGTGGCCACGTGGCCTGGATCTGGCCAATTAAACATCAGCAAAAGTTTTCTGGGTGGTCCTTAGGAATATTTTTGTGTTTTTGCTTTCCAGGTAAAAGGAGTAACCAAGACTGGCACTGTCTCTTTTTCCTGCCCTAAAGGTGGCTGTGGTGTTTGAAGGGGTGGCAACCATGCTATAACATGAGGGAAAATCAGGAGAATCACTATGATGTTGGCCCTGGTATCAATACGTTGCTGAACCAAAGCTATCAGCAGCCTACCTCAGACAGATTATTACGTGGGAAGAATAAACTCCTATTGGTTTAAGCTGCAGTAAATCTGGTTTTCTGTTACTTGCAGCCAAATGTATTCCTAATTGATTCAGTACTAAATTACTCTCTAAAAAGTCTGTACTCACTTTATTCTCTCACAGAAGTCTATTAAGTCATTTTCTAAACCTTTGTCGACTGTGAATATTGACAGTCATTTAAATGTTTAACCAAACTGATGCATGAAAATGTTTCACATGAAGTAGGGCACCATTTCATATATTTGTTGGCTATTCAGATTTCTTCCTCTATGACTTTCTTGTTCCTAACTCTTGTCCACTTTTCTACTGTACTGTTTGACATTTTCTTATTAATGCATAAGAGGAAATTTCCAGATTGCAAAGTAGGCTGAGTTAAACTTACAGGGAAATTTGTCTCTATCTTGACATTATCAACCAAATCAAACACAACTGTAAGATAGGAGCCTTCTGTGACAGGCCAGGCTGACAATGACAGACATCTCTGAGTGGTGCACCGCCACGTGGGCAATGTGTCAAGAAGTAATTCAACTCGGTGCAAAATACCACAGCCTGTGCTTAGTACTTCCTTTGTAAATCTATGTCTAAAGAAAGATTTATGGAATGGTGACACACTGGTTAGCCAGGCAGAGTCTTCAATATACATCATCTCTTTGAACCCTCAGGTCACACCCAAGAGGTGGTCATTACTATTCCTGTTTTACAGAATAAATGATCAAAGTAAACATTCAAAAGCAATAGTTTCTTTCCTATTACAAAACTTAAAATATTCCAGGCCCAATATTTTTAAAACAAAATAGTTGTTTATCTCAAAATAAAATTATGTAAAATGCATTTTTACATAATTTTACATAATGTTATGTGTCTATCTAAAGACATCAACATTCTTAAGCTAGAAACATAACTGAACCTGTTTGCTGGTTTATAAATCTGAAGAAACTGTTCCAACATTTGGCTCTGGAGTTTATTGCCGCATGATAGGTAACCAAAATTACTTTCATTTTTTTAAAGTGAACTAAATTGAGTAGGATTTCAATGCTTCAGCCAGAAGGATCTACTAGCCAACCACCCCACCCCAAGGCTGTAGGTAAAGAATTCCCCTAGTCAGTTAACAAGCAACCAATCTGACCCTGGCAAACAAACAAAATAGGCTGCTAAAGATAATAAAAGATGTCATGAAAAGTAATGTAAACAACTTGAACAGAATAAGCACTATCCTGGAGTATTTGTACATGGTTTGGATTCTGGATAGGCTGATTCTTTGTTTTAAAAATCCTAGCAGCTAGAGGAAAAGGGAAAGTTGGCAGAGCTCCTGCTCCTGCTCCTGGAGTCAGGTGGGGGGCAGCAGGAGGGCTGAGGCTCTGACACACATTTCCCTGCTTTATGCTACACCTCTCCCCATAAGAGCTGTGGGTTCTCTCTGGCAAAGTGTCACACAAAGCACGCAATCCATAGCTGGTAAGGAGCACAGGCAGCAAACCTCCTTGATGCCTTCAACCAAACCCTCCCTGAGGGCACACACCCAGCCAGGGCTCCAAGAACTGACAGCCCCTATGGCAGGAAGGCCAGATCACCAAGCAGCTGCCCACTTGGGTCCCAGAGAGACATGGGGATTTACCTGGAGCACTCTCTTGCAGAATTTTTTTAGACCATTTGAAAGGTACAGAAAAATACCTGGGAGAGTTTGAATTCTTTATTTTACATGAAAGAAATCCAGTCTGCAGACGCATACAATGTTTGTGGTCTATGAAACTGCAAACAGATCAACAAATGCCCAACCTGAGGATACCTGCTGGTTCCTTCCATTTTTCTGATGGGCTTGCCCAGTGGCCTCCTGGGGAGAGGCAGAATATTCCCTTCATTCCCACCCTGCTTTCTAGCAGGGGCTGCACATCTCACCCACTGGCATAGCAAAGGTGGTAGCCCCTAGAAAGAAATCTGACTCATCCCCAAAACCAGCTGTGGCCAGCTCAGGCCTGGAGAGGGGACAGGGATTCCGGTGGGCTGCACCTGACCTCAGTCCAGGTGTTCACCAAGCGCATAACAGTGAGAGAATGAGGTAAGCTTTAGTCACCAGAACAAAACAAACCAGGTTCCTTGGCCCTTCAAAACAATCTGTCCAAGCCCCAACACACTAGGGGCACAGAAAGCTCCAGGCATGTAAGAGAGGCGGACACGCCATGTCTCTAAGTGGGAACACAGACACCAAGAGAAAGGGCAAAAAGGCAACGGAATGGGGGACTAGGGTCAAAATGTGCCCAAATCAAACCAGGCACAGAAGCACAGTGCTGGCCAACCCCCTGGTCAGCTCTCTGGGAAGGGACACTCCCGGCACCATAAGGGCCCCCCAAGTGCCCTTTAAAATGGGTCCTACACAGGGAAGGGAACATCACAAACCAGATCCTGTGTGGGTGGGAGGGGGCTGGGGGCTGGGGGCTGGGAGGGATAGCAGGGTATCGGGGCTACGGGAGGGATAGCATTAGGAGAAATACCCAATGTAGTTGAGAGGTTGCAAACCACCATGGCACGTGTATACCTATGTAACAAAGCTGCACATTCTGCACATGTACTCCAGAACTTAAAGTATAATACTAAAAAAAGCTGGGTCCTAAAAGGGCCAGGCCTTGTAAGTCCTCCCAACAGGCTGGTGGCCCGGAGACAGCAAAGAGTGGTAAAGGGAGAAGGAGGAGATGGCTCCAAACTGCCTTTTCTCCCCCACAGGCTCCAGCACTTGCACAACCAACTAAACACACCCAGACACATGGCCTCATTGTCTGATACACAGGAAGGCACACACATCTGTACACACTGGTTCCTGCTTAGGTGCACTGATGCACACAGCCTCACTGTGTGTAATTTACACACACACACACCCCCACCCAGTAGAGGGACACAACACATTCAATCTGCCAGTTGGGTGGTGTAGTCACATAAACACACACACACACACAAACTCTGTCAGGAGTGAACACAGAACCTCTCCAGGCTCATGCTCACGCACACACATTCCACAACCCCTCAAGTCAGGCCCATACAAACCTCTAACACACACAACGCAAACTCACAGCCTGTCAGGAAAGAAAGCACTCAAACATCTCCGCTAGGTGCACAAACCCTTACAATCTTGCAAGCTTTCTGTGAGGTGCACACACACCCTTGCAATCCCTCTGTCCCCGTGTGCACACACACATACAAGTGCACACACAGGCTCACAACTTCTCTGCGGGCGTGCGCGCACACAAACTCCCAACCTCCTGGCCAGATGCACACACACTAGCTCCCAGTCTCTCCGCCAGCGCCTGCACACTCACACTGGCTCGGTCGGCACACGCACTCTGGCAGCCTCGCTCCCCTGCGGGCGCACCCCACACCCACGCACCCTCCTGGCCGGTGCAGCACCCCCCCGCCCCTGCCGGCGCCCGGCAGTGAACTCCGGCGGCGCGGGGTGTGCGCACGCCCCCGGCCCGCGGTCGCCCGGCCGGCCTGCGCCCCTCCTCACCTTTCTCGCCCGCGCCCGGCCCCCGGCCCTCGTCCTCCTTGGGGTTGGTCACCTGGGTGATGATGGCCGGGCCGTCCATGGGTGCGCGGCACGGCGGTCGCCCGCAGGCCCGGCCCCCCGCAAGCCAAGCGCGCGGGGGCGCGGCGCGGGGGGCGCGGGGGCGCGGCGCGGGGGGGCGCTCGCAGCCGCCGCCTGGGCGCGCCCGCCGCCCGGCCCCGCGCTCTGGGAGAGGCGGCCCGGGCCCGCGCCCCAGCTCCCGCCGCCGCCGCCGCTGGGGTCGAGCGGCCGCCGCCTCCTCACCATGAACCCCGGAGCCGCGCCCGGGAGAGCCGCGCACGGGGAGGCGGAGCGGGAGGCCCGGCGCCGCTGGAAGCGGGAGCGGGCGGGCGAGGGGGAAGGAGCGAGCGAGGGCGGGAGGGCGGGAGAGAGGGAGGGAAGGAGAAAGGAAGGGAGGGAAAGAAGAAGGGCGGGCGGGCGTGTGGGTGTGTCCCGGCCCGGGGACTGGCCTCCGCCGCGGGCTCTGCCCGCTCGCCGGCTCGTCTGGGGGGGAGAGGGGTGCGGGGCCGACAAGGGGTGAGTGGAGGGCGGGAGGGGACGGCCGCGCGCGCGGCGGTCCGGGGCAGTTGAGTGGGGTGAGGGGCTCAGGGTGTAGCGGACGGCAGAGGGGCTCCGGGGGTAGAAGTGAGGGGTGTCGGGGGGCCTACGAGATTGAGTGAGGTGAGAGGCCTGGGGTGTGAGGGATGTGGGGAGGAGTCTGAGGCAGATGGGTGGGGTGAGGGGCGCGGGGGGATCCGCGGGGACCCGCGGGTGCTCCGGCAGGATTCGGAGGGGTGCAATGTGGGGTCCCGGGGTCCGAGGGGGCATGGCATGGAGGCCGGGGCGAGGAAGGGGGCCCGAGGAGAGATGTTTACCGCGAGGAGGCGCGGGAAGGGCTGGGCGGGGGTGCTATGAGGGTGTCTCGGGATGGTGCTGGGCGAGTGGCGTCCCGGCTCGGGAACCGAGGGGACTGGCGCGTGGGTGCGGAGGGAAGCGGCGTGCAGAAGTGGGGGCTGCCGAGGAGCGGTCCTGACACCCAGATGGCCCGCAGAGGGGCCCGGGCGCGGCGCTGCTGTGAGTAATGGAGGCCCCGGAGCGTGGGGAAGGTTCGGAGAGGCCAAGACTGCGCTGCCCCGGCTTGTGGGGTCGCTGGAGGGAGCAGGGTCGAGAGAGATCTGCGCAGAGAGGTGGTGTGCGGATGGGGCCAGCGGCTCAGGTCGTGCGGATGCTGGTGCGTGAGGGGCGGCAGGTCCTGAAGGACCAACCTCCTGACACGTGAGGGTGTCGTGACTGAGGGGGGGCCTGGACAGTGGGCATTTTCGGGTGCTGTGCAGCAAGGGGGCCCGGGGAGTCGGTCGAGGGCAGAAGAGTGGAAGGCGCTGGTGGCGGATGGAGCTGGGCAGGGACTGTGCTTGCCCAAAGCAGCCGGCCACTGTCAGACCTAGGACGACGGCCAGAGCGTGGGCGAGAAAAGAAAGCGCCCCCTTAGCCTGGGAGCGTCGGAGCCTTTTGGCGCCCGCGTTCCCCGCTTCCAACTTGCAGGCCACACTCGCAGCCTTGGAAGCCAGGAGGCGGGGTGGTGCCGCAGGGGGGCGGGTCCGGGGCGCTCGCGCGCGCTCCCCACCAATCAGGAATGCTTGGGAGGGCCTACGGGGCGTGACGTCGGCAGGCAGGGTTCAGTGGGCGGCCTGCATCGAAGTGCGGCTTGCCTCCGCCCGCCAGGTTGCGCGCGCACATCGGGCCTTGCGGGCTAGTGCATCTCTTCGTGGCTTCCAGGAGGCGAGGCCAAACAGGATCTTTCTCACTTCCCCACATCTCCTGGAGCCTGGAGCTGGAATGCAGTCAGGCCCCATGGGAACGGGCGAGCCTCTCCAAAGTATTAAAGGACACTTCCGGAAGAGCCTTTGGCTTGTGGTCAGCCTGCAGACATCAGCGGTGTCTACCTGTAGGAGCCCCATGAGGGTTCAGGTGTGGGAGGCTGTCCTGGGACAGGGCTCCTGTGACCGAGGCAGGTGGGAAGGCACTCCTTCCCTGTAAAAGGTAGTTGGTAGGCAAGAGGTGGGTGTTCTGCCCCAAACTTAGGACCTCAAGTGGCATTCTGACTCTGGGCGTGTGGGCGGGACCAGGTGCCAGTTGCCCTTGGGGCGTGCTCACCTGTGAGTAGCTGCTTTTCCAAGGGCACCTTTGGCACCCCAGTGAATCACCTGGTTGGAGGAGTGCCCTTTTAGTCACGAAGGCAAGCCCTGGTGTAAGTAGCCCAGGCTCTGCCCTTCTTAACCCTCCCAAGTACAGACCACATTAGGGCCCCATGGCACCCAGCATCTCCCTTGTTCTAAATTCTAATGCTCTTCACATTTGTTATGAGGATATGGCTGGCCTGGGACCTGGTGAACTCAATTTTCTCGAAGAAAAAAAAAGACTTCTGAATTCTAAGGGGTCAGAGAAGGATCTTCCAGAGATTGCTCAGTGGGGAGGGCCTGGGGATATGTTTCTACAGTTTTTGGTCATAACCACAGAGATTAGCATCTCTGCTACCTGCTTGATGAAGCACCTCAAATAGTCCATCAGCGAGGGCAAGGTGATGGGAACATTTGGAGTCACTGATTCGCATGCTTGAGGGCTGGATCCCTTGTTTGGGAGGTGGGAGGTACTTCCAGAGCTTCTGTTCACTTAGTGAAGGCTAGTTCAGAGCTCAGTGGTACAGGGCGGGAGGAAGTCATTTTCATATAGTCTTTCTTGTTTGGCCTGTTTGTAACAATGACTCCCCAGGACCCTCCAGTAACAATTTTCCCTTACCTACATCCTCTGCCATCCTCAGGTTCCTGAGATCACCTTGAAAAAAAAACATGTACCTTCACTTAAGTTTTTGTTTCAGACTCAAGCAAGAAAACAGCTTGCTATCTTTTATGACCTTGTTCCCCTCCATTATGCTGTTCATTTAAAATTTTGATTTATTGTTTATTTTATCAATATTATTAGAATCAAAGAAAAGTATCACCTATAGCCCTATCACCATCCTTTGGTCAATCTCTAACTTCCTCCATTTCTCCCTGTCCTTGCCCATATGCTGACATAATTCCATGTAGCTATAAAAAAAGCCATGTTTAAAATTATAAGGTTAGCATTTTTCTGTGTGGTGACATAATTGCTGTAAATACCATAATAAGTGATTGCATAATACCTTACTGAAACAGTCTTAGATAACACAGTATTTTGGTTTTACACATGAAGGAAAGATTCAAAATTGTTGGGACAACTGACTAGCCATGAGGAGAATATATGTCTTTATCTAAGTCCTTACAGCATATTCAAGATAGCTTGAATACTTAAATATAAAAAATTAACATAAATAAATACACCAGAACAAATATGGGTAAATGCTTTTTGATCTTGGATGGGAAAGGCCTAAGAGTGACAAAAACTTCAGAAATTGCCAGGATAAGATTGATAAATTTGGCTATATTCATTCAACAAACATTTATTGAGCCCCTTCTATATGTAAGGTTCTGTTCCAGACACTGGGGATCTCAGAGTTATCTAAAATGAGGAGTAGGGAGTTGAGCTATCATACTCATACAAGTCAGTCAGTCATAGCCAAAGGCTGTCTCTGGGGGCCTTAAGCCTCTGGGAATAGGAGCAAAGCAGCCCCAGTGACAGTGCCAGCCATGGGAGGCCAGAGCACATCAAGCCCCAGTGGGGACATCCAGAAACAGAAGAAGGGGCCCAAGGGGATCTAGACAGAGCACCAAAGTGTTGGTTGAAGTCACACTTCCCAAATTCCCATCATACAGTGTCCTTGTACCACCTGTATGAGAACAGGGTTAATGTTTTTCTTTATTTTAAAATAAATAGGAAACTAGTGGGTTAAATTTTTTTTTTTTTTTT